CTGTCTGTTACATTCCTTTAAATTAACAGAACTTGTAAACAGAAGAGTCTCTAAATGCATTTCATCCCATCAGTGAGGAATTCATACAATTTGTTAAGAAAAATTGTAATAACTGATCATATGTTTATAGCAAGTGGCTTTCCAACAGCCAATGTCCTATAACATCACCTCTAGTAAGCTAGACACATGTATAGTTTTCACCAAAAAATTTTATTCTGCACACAATCTTCTGATGGGGAAAAGATAAAAAAAGGCAAGGGAGGGACAAGCTCCTTCTGCATCTCTCGGAGCACAACCCCGAAGCATTTGTACTTCAGCTCTCAGTGTGCATTGGGTAACCTTCATCAGACCAGCTGGGGAGAAACCAGCAGCAGGACACACCTCCACAGCTCAAAGTCAGCACTGGCTGATAAGCTAAGGTCCCCAGAACAGTGCAGGACATTCTAAATCCTTCAGGATGCCTCCTGGCTGCCAGCCTGAGTTCCACCCGTGCTGTCACCCCACTCCACAGCCAACCAAGCCTGCATTGCCCTTCACCTGTAGAGCCATGCACAAAGGATGAGACAAAGAGAAAAGAGCAGACTGCCACAACACTGTCAAGATACCAGGAAAGGGAAGAGAGCAGTCCCTGCCCTGGTATCCTGTGGGCAGGAGCGAGGGAGGCAGCACCTGATCCAGAATGGCAGGCAACACTCCTGCTGCTGGCAGAGGTAGATCACCACCCTCACTTTGGACAGAGAAAAGGCATCACTGAGTTATCCCCCAACAAATGGCTCCCAGTCCACCTTCAGGGGAAGGAAGGAATTATCATCTCCTTACAGTTATTTGTATTAACATCAACCCTAGTCCTGCATTAGAAGATACGTGATGGGATGGTGACAGACTCTGTGGTATTTAAATTATTCCGAGATTGTAGAAAGTGTCTATCTTTCAGCCCCGCTGCCAGAGAAGTCATAATTCATCTGTGCTGGTTTTCAAGGTAGTTTATTCTTGCTTATCTATAACATATTCAGTCTGCCCTGCAGCAGGACAGCATGCAGGGCTCTGTCCCTCAGTGGGATGTTACAAACATTATGTACCAGAAACTATGTGTGCTATATTTACAATAACGTGCCAATATCTATCACTTACGTTGAAGAGTGTGTCCCCAGTCTAAACCAATAGAAAAATGCCAGCACTACAGTGAAACATGGCAAGACATGAAGAAGAAGAAAAAGGACAAGGCACGCCAAATTTCCTCCATCTTGCCTCCTTTTAACCCCTTATCTAGAATCCTAAAATTCTACTTTTGCACCCCGTCACACTAATTATTACTTATATAAAACACTCAGAGCTTGTAATTCATCCTGTAAGATTGAAAACTCTTTTCCATGGACAGAGATCACAGACAGTGTCTCTCGGGGCACTGTCCAGGGGGGTTCCTGACCCCCTGCCAGGGTCCCAGGCCTTCCAGGGCAGCCAGAGGGATGCCCTGGATTCCCACATCTCCCCCTCTTTTTTTGTCACACAACAAAGGAGCAAGTGATTGAGATTCTTTCTTCTGGTCCTCTTCAACAGTCTTCAAATGTCTTCTGTAAATTTGTTTCGCTGAAACAGTAGTGAAATGATGCAAGAAATCTTCCATCCCAAACTTGGAGTATCCTTTCAAATTGCTCTCCCCAGATGTTTGCCTAAATTGATTTTTAGCTTACAATCCCATTCAGTTTTATTGCTACAGGTTTTGTAAGGCAAGGAGTGCTCAGCATCCTAACACTGCCAACCTTTCACATGGGGCATTGTGCTGATAGTAGGCCAATGCAGTGAGCCACTGTCAATTGTAGGAACTCTCTAAACAAAGGCACAGAGTCTAAGCAGGTCCTGGACAACCTGCTCCAGCTGCCCCTGACTGAGCAAGGGTGGGGGATTCAATCTCAGGAGATCAAAGACACACAAGAGGAGTCTGTGATTCCACACACCACCACACCGCAAAAGCAATAATGGCCCTACATTCACACATATGTATTCTATGTTCGTATGAAACAGATGGAAGAAAACAAAATCACAAAAAATCTGGTGCAATCCCAGATCTTCAGTAGCTGGGAGGTCATGGAAAATTGCAATAATCTGTACTGAGCTCCGTAACGACAGCAACTGACAGCACTGCCTCATGCTAAGGAACTTCGATTCTAAATCCACTTGCCCAGATGTTTCTGTTGCCCTATTTTAGGACAAGTGAAAAACATGGAATCCCTACAACCTAAGCATTTAGAAAGTAATGCATTCATTTGTTTTTGGCAAAGATTGATTTAAAAGACAACATACAGAATTGTCTTAAGACAGTAATTTTCAAAAGGAAACATTCCTTTATGGCCTTAATGAAAAGGAGGTTGTTCCTCTGCCTGTGGCAGGGGTGTGGGAACTACATGATCTTTAGGACCCTTCCATCTCAAACTATTCTGTGTTTCTATGATTGTAGTATTAGCCCTAATTTAACAAACCATACCTGTACAGTCTGTTTGTGCACAACTGCTGCATAAAGATGAACAGCAAGGTGTGATGGCTCTTCACAGTGGTAATCAGCCAATACAATGCACATTTTAATGCCAGAACAATGCCCACCTGTGGTTCCAGTTACTTTGAATTTAATAAATTAATATAAAGTAACTATAACTCAGGGTCCTTTGACAGGATATTGCAAGAGAACAGATCCATTTTTCATCTCCAGCCTCTCAGTGTCAATTTAATTGTAGTAATTGGCACGCATACACAGAGAGGAATCAAAACTAAGGTCAAATCCTGTTTCCAGGGGAGGATCTTCCCAGTTAGAAGTGAAGATCCCACCCAAGACTTGAGTCACAGCCTAGGAAACTGATGCTGGTGGAGAGGTGGCATGGACAGTCCCTGGTCACTGTGGCAGTGTTTCAGAGCAGCAATGCAAGTTCTGAGAAGAAAAGTTTTCTGGGTTTTGATTGTGTACAATAACCTGGTAGCCAGCAGAATTCCCTGTCATACATAGACTTTCACCCCCATAACACACAATTTACTGCAGAGTAAACAGTGCATGGGATAAACAGGTACAGAGAAATAATGTACTTTGTTATATATGGAGGAAAACAGCAGCCATGTATTCCATGTACGACCTTGTAATAAGGGCTTGTAGAGGCAGAATTCTCATTTATTCTCATAAGAAACACATTATCTATTCCTTTTGATAACAAGCCTCCTTGCAGACACTTCTCCCACTTACACTGAGCTATGTGTAACAATGACAGAGTATCTTCATCATCATCATCATCACTGGCATTTTTTAAATCTCACTCTCTAAAAACACCATTGGTAAATGGTATTCTGCCATGGTTCCAAAGTTTCCTTGCGGGGAATTTAACTGCCATCAGTACATTTGCTTCCAGAAAACACATCCTGTATCTATTAAGACCAGAACAGAAATGCACCCCAGTCAAAAGACGCAAGATGATTCCAACTGGACTGTTCCAACCCCCATTGGCAGTCCCATTCTTTTCCCATAAAGAGTAAATTTTAAAAATTATTTCTCAGAAGCTGCAAAATGCTGTCTCTACACAACACAAATAAGCATCATGTACTTAGAATAATTTTTGACCCCTACAAGCATTCAAAAGAATTTTAGGATCATTTACTAATCTATTAATACATAATTAAAACTTGGGACTGAAACTTTTAACTGACTGGCTCTTGCTTTCAGTATTAGTAATGGACGACAAGTGTCCTCCCCACTGAGTTACCAACTTTCTTGCCCATGATTATTAAGCAACACAAACATGTCTATGAAAATCTCACATCTGCTTTACACCATTCTCCAGTTCAACAACTATTTCATTATTACCACTTATTTTATTTTATTAATTACCCCATATCAAACCAGAACTTGACTCCTAGGAAATCAAGTGAATCTTAAATCTTCTGCTCTTCCTTAGTCTTAAAGACAGAAAAACCCCACTTCTAAAGAAGTTTAAAGGAGATGATGTGGTGGGGATGATGTGGTTAGGATGGACTGTTTTCAGCAACAAAGCTCTATCCTAGCTCACAGACTGTCACTCCAAGAAGCTGAACAGCAATCCCTATGGCCCCCATCCTTCAAGGCTGAAAGGATGTTCTATTTCACCAGGGACAGGCGCAGACGCAGCAAGATGACAGCGTGCAGATCACCTCCCCTCTGTCTTGTCTACATCCGAGTCCTTGTAACCGGAGGATTCTTCTTCCTCTCCATCAGAGGGATTGGATTTCTCATGAGCCACTTCCAAACAACGCCACCAGCTGAGCAACGTTGCCCCCGCTCTCCCGAGAGCGCATCCACGCTCCAGGAAACGGCAGATACCGAGTTGGGAACGATTTTATTAAAACTCAAGGCACAGTTTTGATACAAATAAGCTTCAAAAGTAAGATATTATACTCTAAAGGCAATTCCTTGCTGCAACGAAACAGCTTACAGCCGACATTGAGAATGCTGGATGACTACACAAATTACCCATTTTAAAAACTATATTTTACACCACAAATTATGCTGACCCCTCCGGATGCTGTTGGCATTTCAAACTAAAATCCTAATTCTTCAAGAATTCCACAGGATTGCAGCTATTGCGGTTTGTGGTTCGGCTTTTTTCCCTCCCGCTGTCAGGGGCAGCTCAGCCGCAGTGGCCCCGGCCCCGCGGGGCGGCGGAGGAGCCGGGCTGGGCCGGGCCTGCCGGGGCCGTCCCGGGGACAGGAGCACCGCGTCCCGCGGGAGGGGATGCGCCTCGCCCGGTCCCGCCCCCGCCCTCCGCTTCTAGAAGGAACCGGCGACCGATGCCCCGGGGCGCCCGCCGCCCCCCCCGCCTCCTTTTGAACCAGGTCCACCGCGGGGGAGCGGGCAGTCGGTCGAAGGTCTGCGAGAGGCGGCCGAGGCCGCAGCCCTGAGCCGCCCCCGCCACCGCCTCGGCCCTCCCACTGCCCTGCACTGGGGCCCCCGCCCGTGGCCAAAACAGTCGCGAGGCGGCGGCGCTCACCTCCTCGGCCTGCTTGCGCAGCGCCTTCTCCCGCTCGTACTGCGTGAGCAGCTGCTCGTTGTCCTCCCGCAGCAGCTCCAGCTCCACCTCGTGCTCCTGGTTGTCGGTGAGCACCGAGTCTAGGTTCTCCAGCACCGTCACCACCAGCGGCATCAGCTCCTTCACCACCTCCTCGTCGTAGCAGTGGATCAGTCGCTCGAACTCGCGGTAGATGCTGTTGGCGAGGCCCGAGACCCGCTCCGACATCACCGACCCCGAGCAGTAATCATCGCCCGGATACCCCCCCACGCCGCCATCGTCTAGCTGGATCTCCAGCATCCTGCCGGCCGACAGCCCTCAACCCCGCTCCGCTCGCCTCCGCTTCGGGCCCTGCTGACACCGCCACCGGGCGCTGCCCCGCCCCGCACGCCGCGTCAAGGTCCGCGGGCACCGGCCGGGGCGGAGCGCGGCGGCACCGCCCAGAGCCGCTAGATCGGGGACGCAAGCTGCCCGTGCTGGGAGGAGGCGGGGCGCCGCAGTGCTTCTTGCGCCGGAGCCGCGGGCGGCGCAGCTCGCGGCCCGTCGCGAGCCCCGCGCAGACAAAGCGCTGCGCACCGGGGCCCCGCGAGGCGCGATGGGGGCGCACGAGGCCCCGCGCTGCGGCGTCACGCGCAGACACCGAGCGGGGGCCAGCGCGGGCCCGGGTCGCGCCGCATCCCGGACACGCGCTGGCTCCGGGAGCCGCGTTAGAGACCCGTCACAGCCGCGGTAGTCGTATTTCCGAGATGAAGCAGCCGTAGTTACTACAGAGAAAGCAGACAAGGATCTGTTCAGTCAGGGATGAAGAAAAAGCCAGAGGGCCAAATATGGCCATCTCAAGTCTTCAAAGAAAATTCAGCACAACCACCGAATTTAATCAGATTTCCCAAATCAACAGCAACACACACCAAATTACGGACAGCAGCTCCAGCAAATTATGGGCGGTAGCCTCCAGCACCCTCAACAGGTGTCACAGAAGTTAGAGTCTGCCACATCCTGGGCTCAGCTGGGCTGTAGAGTTGGAAGAAGACAGCAGGAATCATTATTCTCTGAGAACTGAGAACAGCCTGGCAGGAGAAAGAAATAAGGGGTTGATTTGGAAAAGGCTTCCCACACCTTCATTTGGCTTAGAGCCCTGAAGAGTGTAATTCCAAGGTCGTGACTAGCAATGACCCTAAAAGCTTCATACTGCAAAAAGGGAAAGAACTTTAACCCTACCCAGAAAGCCTAATTGCAGTGGGAATATCACATCTCACTTATAATTAAGAATTTTAAGTTTTATGACTGTTTTGTTCTATGTTACAACAAACACAAGAGTGTGCTTTATTAAATGCAAGATTGCATTGAAAATATTTTGAATAAAAATATACAGGTGAACAGGGAGAGAAGCAAGGCAGGCAAAGAGGTAAGACTTATTCACTGATTCACTAATTCACTAATTCCATATTACACTGAACTTCTAATCTTCTGTAACCTAGAGAGCATGTAAAAACATTTATAAAGTTTTCTTGCATTTTTCCCGCATACATAAGAAACTGACACAATGGACATGACACAAACTAAAGCCTGTTGAACCACAGAGACTGATGAGCTCATAGCATTACCCACTCTTCTGATTGTAATCCCAACAGGTCTAGCAGGCATCCCTGAGGGGAGGGGATATCAGTTGAAGTGCATCCTCCTTTCTACAACAGAATCCTGGTTCAGGTCCAGTGACTGTGTTAAAGCTCCTGCTGAAAGGCAGTGATTGCCTTAACTTAAATCAATCACTAAAAGATACATTCCTGTATTTATAAATTCATAAATAACTTCAAGTCTAGAGATCAGTCAAGAAATGGCAGGAATGCTAGGTGCTGCCATGCATGAGAAAAAATTAAAATACCACTTCCAGGTCAAAGTTGGCAAGCAAAATATTTGCTTATTCTACCCTTTTGGGGGTTTATTGCATCTAGCATAGGAGTTCAAGTTGTTATTTGCTTAGCACTAAAAGCAAACTAAAAACTGACTGTGCTATACATATGCAATTGTGTTATGGCTGCAAGGGCACTTTGCTGAAGAGCTTACCTTTCCAAGTAGGCAAAGTAAAGGCACAAGGAGTGAGAAATTGATAGAAACACTGAGACTATGAAAGGAAAATCAGGATTCTTTTGCAATAACCATATGACCTCAAATTAACTATTGGGGATTTTTTTTCCCTTAGACAGGTGGAACTTCGCTTTGTGAAAGAATAAGTATTTTTTAGGTATCTTGGTTTGAAAGACAGGTGTCTGCCAAGGAATGTGGGAACTTCTCTTGGAAGAGAAAATGTGACTCCCTTCCCTCCAAATTATTATAACTCTGAAATTATGGGTCTTTTGGGAAAAGATAGGATAAAAGGAATAGCGTGTCTTTACTAGTAGATATATAGATATAAATATAGATATATATGTATAACAAGGCAAACAAACATCAACAATGGCAGCAGCAACAACAAACAAAATACCAGAAACCCAATCACAGCCTTGTCTCAGCCGCAGACACCCTCCCCTTTGGTGCAGTTCTGCTCACAGCCGGCAGGGGCACTGGTGGCTCCTGGCCTGGCAGTGCGCATGCAGTGATTCCCCCCGGCTGCAGGGGGCGCCGTGGCGCAAGGTCAGCCGCTTCTCCACACGGTGATGGAAATTCAGCCGGGAGGGCGGAGAGAAAAGGGGCTCTGTTTACAAACCCACAGGGGAAGCCAGTCCTGGTGCCCGTCCAGATGGAGAAATGGGCTGTAGCAGGAATCTCGGAGCGCTGGCTAGAACGGCTGAAGTTCGTCACCCAGGGTGACAAAAAAAATGTAGCAGAAAACTGCAGCCTTTAGCAGGAGCTGCAATAGTTGGGTGGACACAGTGTGTTGGGTAAGGGTGTAGCACGAAAGCCCAAGGCAGTGGCAGAAAGCAGTGGGCTGGGCAGCAGCAGCTGGGCTTCTCCATAGCAGTTGCCACACATACCCAGGAGACACACCCTCAGGATTCCAGGGGTCCTGGGTTTTCCCTGGTGGCACCCTAGTAGATGGTGATGATCCTTTCCAGTCAGATCAGGCATTACTAAGGTTCCAGCTCAATGGCTGCTCTTAGGAGCAGATGCTCACCCACAGTAAGGAAGAAAGCAGTGTTAGAAATGAGACACATGACTCAGCCAATATATCAAGCAGCAATTCAAATTATTAATTAATATGGTAACGTATGAGCAAACACAGCGCAGGGTACAGTGGTGGGGGTTTTCCCCTCCCACTGCACACTGGTTGTTGGTCTTGCTGGTATTTATTGATCATAGTAATGCAGATTCATAAGCTTTTCCCAGTTTCTACATGAGCTTTCAACAGTTTCCGTTTCTACCTTTAACATCACAATTCTATACCTCATCATCAACATGATGGTGATATTTGGTTCTTTTCCAATTTCTATAACCTATTGTGTATATCCCAGTATGTGTGTCCAGATGGTGGGGTCCAACTTCTATTTTTGGGGATCATTAATCTATGGTAGTGATGTCCAACTTCCCATTTTGAAATCATCTATCAGCAACCTTGATGTCCATCTTCCTTCTCCAGGAGCTTGGGATAGGGTCCCTTCCCTTTCTGTTTAAATTATTTATATTCTAAAGCTACAGCTTAAAAATCCTTAGTACTCAGCAACATTCTAAAGTTATAATTCAAAAGCTCTTATTACAAAACAGGTTAAGAGTTATACATTCTAAAGCTACAGTTTAATAACTTTAATACTAAGCAACATTCTAAAGTTATAATTCAAAAGTTCTTATCGCAAAACAGCTCAAGACTGTTATATGTAGTCAGTGTAATTCGTTCCAGTATAATATGATAAGTGTAATATTTTATATTGTTGGAAGTACACATGCTGGCACTGGGAGGTGCCCCCACATATTCGAAAACCGGTTTCTGACAAAACCTCATTTGCAAACTAATACATGGGGTTCACCCACAGATGGGTCGTTTCTCAAGGTGATACAGGAACGCCCAGGTGCTGATCATCCAGCAACCATCTATTCTAGATCGGGATCACTGAAATCCTCCTGGTTGATACATCTGAATGCCGTGTTCCCGTAACTCCATCAAGAAGATTCATCAGCACTGGACACCGAATTGTTCCATCCCAACACAGAGGAAAGAGACTTTATGAATATGTGGGACTTTGAATGTGAAGAAAAGACGGATTGCCTGCTTGTACCAGGAGGGTGGTGTGTGGGCATCGGGGAAACCTCTGCTGAGGCTATCTGCTCTGTGACACACCCAGTCCCGATCCCGGGCTCGGCACTGTCTGTTTCCTTGTGGCTGGCTGAGAGATAATTCGATCTTAATAATACAATTTTTATTTTTTAATTTTTAATTTGGCTGGATCAATTTTTATCTATAACAAGACTTATAATTGTTATTTGCAAACAAAAAACTGGTTCAAAAGCCTTCTTTCATGCTTTCCTCGGTTGTTTATTAGAACTCATCTTTATAATTGTCTCATGGCCTTCTTCCACACATTTCGTAACCACAACTGCACAGGTTGCCTTTATGTGCCTGTCATGAAACACAACTTTGTATTTCACAGCAGTAACAGGTTGGACTCCACACGGCGGCAGCAGCTCGACTGTTCCCCTCTGATCCTGAGAGCAAGAGAAGAGCCAAGCCCTGTGGAGTTGTGTTTTTATATGCTTTATTACATCTTTATTCTGTCATGGTTTGTTCCAGTGTACCCCCATACTGTATTGGTTTCTCCCTGAGTTTTCCTGCCTTTCCCCAAGTGTCGGTTTCCCTGGAAGGTGCCGAGTCAGTCCCCTGCCCTTTCCCAAGTGCCTTGTCTGTCAGTCGGTGCCCCTTCCCCTACCTCTGGAAACTTCCATCCAGGGCACCGAGTGATTGGATGAGGGCCTGGGACCCCTCCCCTGTCTCCCCCTCACTGGATCCCCCCATGTCCATCCCCACAGAGTCACTCCTGTCTGTTCCCCACTGGCTGATCGGCCCCCCTCCCTCTCCCTATGGAACATGTTGCCAGCACTCCTCAGTAGCTCTTGTTGGCTGGCCCCCTCCGGTGCTGTTGGATCCACAGGACCTCAATAAACATCGGATTTTTGCCCCAACAAGTGCCTCTCCTCATTTCCTCGCCGTTGGAATCAGCAGCGCCCTCAGGACCCGCAAAGCACTCTCCAAAGCCCAGCTGGTACAGTGGCGGGTGCTTCCACTCACCCTACTCGCCCCGCAGGAGAGCTAGGCGGGGCTGGGGACAGGGGTCTGGGGCGGGGCCGCGGCAAAGCCCAGCCCCCTGACCCCCCAGCAAAGTCTCCAGCTATCTTTGTCCTTCCAAGAGAAAAGCCCCCGGCTAAATCAGCAGGCAGCTGCACTCCTTCTCCCCTCCTCAGTCACTTCTTTTGTCTCTCTTAAGTGCTGGTCATTATCATCTCTTA